AAAGGATATTTTTGATGGGGTTATGCTTTAAAATTTCTTTTTTCAGGTACAAATTTCAGGAACAGTTGGGAGGAAGCCGTAGAGATAGAGGAAATGGATGAGATGTTTGGCAGAACTACAGAAGAGTTTGGCAACAGTTTGCACCTTGGAAGTCCCTTGACAGTCTCAGCTCCTCCCTGTCACCAGCAAGGCTCCTCTCAGTTGTGTTTGCACCCTGTGGGCAGAAGGTGACACTGACCTTAGTCTTCTGGGCAGAAGTCAGGAAGCCTCCGTCCGGCTGACAGACAAAATAATGGTTACCAGTCGCTGCCTGCAGCTCCTTTCCTCCATGCCACACAGCCTTTCCCAGGACAGCTTCCATTCCCTGTAGTCAATGGGAACTACTCTCATCAAAGCCTTGAATAACTTCTTCTCAGCTGTTTTCCGAACCAAGACAGCCTTCATTCGCTTGGATACCACAAGTTTTTGACCATCAGCTACATCTTCTCAAATGTAGTTGTCCCTTAGACTCGGTACCTCCATTTCTTTGAAGAACTCCTCTTTTTTAACTGTTCGCTGTGCATGTCCATTGAGAGACAGCATCTCTACATTGTCCCACTGTCCTATGACTTTAGTTTCCTTCCTTTCTCTTCTCCCTATATTTTAGACATTGATTATCTCAACTGCAAAGTCAGATTCGGCCACTAGTAAGCTAAAAACCTGAAAATGTCCTTTGGATCTGTCTTAAAATTTCCAGCCTAAAATCTCAAAGCATTCCTCTGATATGACTCTACAGGCAACACAGAACTGTCACCCTTCACCCCATATTCTCATCTCAGTGGAGCTCCTTATTCCTCTGCCCTCCACATCCAGCAAGCACTCTTCCCAATCCAGATATGGGTGGTGGAAACTACTATGGCCATTATTGGGATAGCACAGTTGGAGAAGCATTTTACAGTGATTTTGTATGATGCTGAGGGCTTTTAACAGCAGACTATATATATATATTTTTCAGATGGAATCAGAAGTTACTGGGACCTTCATCCCCTTTTACTCAAATAATTGAATGCTCCTTTCACCATTCGACATTTCAAGAGCTCTCCAGATTTTCTAATCAGCATTACAAGGACCATCATTTCAGGGGCTTCAGTACTCTAAGATACAAGGAAAACAAGAGAGAGCACTAAGGAGAGGAAAAGGAAGTGCTGCTGCAAAGCTTTCTTCTTTGCTGAAGAGAGCAGCAAAACTCAGCTTGAGTACAAACTTAGTGAGGATGCTAAAGAAGACAGTACAAACCACGTGGCTGCACCAGAATTAAGAGGGCTCATTTCTCACGTTCCTGTCAGAATCAGGGTCAAATTGTCAGATCCGGAGAGGTGTCTAAGCCAGCAGGTTATTTCATGCTCTGTTCCCTTACATTCATAACCCTCTCAGCTTGCCTTCGTGATCCTACAGAGATAAAGGGAGTTTGGAGCAAGTGCAGTCTTCATCTGTATTTCCTGCGTGCTGACCATTTTAATGGAAAGCTTCACCTCACTAGCATAATGTGCTTTAAATTGACCATCCTTACAATCCTTGTAGCTTTTGATCCACTGCCTCTCATAAAATGGGCTAACCTTTAAGTTCATTATGTTCTTAAAATTATTGCTCTGCATTCAGAGCGTGAAACTATTCCCCAAATTAGTATGTCATATCTGAGCCACATACCTGCAAATTTTTAGTATCCCCATTTAAGTGGAATTGACTTGCCAAGGCACAGTAGAAAGAAGATCAATAATTACAGAGTCCAATTTGCCATAGATTTGTTAAACTTCACTTCCTGCCATCATGCCCTCAATAGCTACGGTTGAAGATACATCCTTGCAATCTGTTCCAGCTGCATTATATATGCCTCAGTCTTCCAAACATTCAAAGCAAACCAGCTGGAAACACTGCACTTATTGTTATCAGTGGAGACTTTATCCATCTACATAACTGTGCCCTCAAGAGGTTACAGACAGCATAACTTTCACATCGGTTGTCAGTTCTTTGAAATAATCCAACAGAAACGTTTGTGAAGTACGTCCCGAGATACTGCAGCAGCGGTTGGTGGGCTATGGTCTTGCAGACCTCTGACAGTCACCAAAGAAAAGTCAGGCCCTAGGGTGTTGCTTACTTTTTGTTGCCTGCTGCCAAACTGGCTGAGAAGATGACAAAAATAACATTGCTTCTTCATGTAAACAGCTGCTATAATAGCTGCAGAGCTGTCACATGATCATACATGGGAAAGGAAGTGGTTCAGATAATTGTAAATGGGAGGACAAGTCTACAGTGCAATCTTTCTATTAGAAACAAAAACTCAGTACACATCATACCAGAGTCATCTCAAAAATATATATGTACCATACTCAGGATTAGCTGAAACAGTCAATGTAGACTAAATATGTAAGATCAGCCTGCATCTAAGCATCTCTCCTGACTCTGCATGGATCTGCAGCTTCTTGCAGCTCCTGGCATTCAATTTTTATAAGAAGAGCAGATTTATGGTATAAGTGCTCATGAATAATTCACTCACATCAGTTGCCACATACAACTTGGGGAAATCCCAGCTGTAAAAACTTGGCACCATTCAGCTAGTGCAAGCTACACTCCTTTTATACAGGTGTTATTCCACTGACCTACTTGGAGTTACTCCTCCTTTCCACTACTAGAAGAGGAGGATCGGGCTGTTTGCTTACCTCTTCTCTGCCACCTATTAACAGCAGTAAAAATACTCCTAGTATTGGAGTAAGTTATTTTTAGCAAGCTTAGCGTTTCACCTCACCTCAGCCACAGGAGAGTCTACATCTCACCAAACCTGGGGTCTCTCATGACAAGCCACTGTCAATTGGCTAAGCTCCTAATTAAGGCCATGTTTCAAAATCATGTTAAGAAAATTACTGAGACTAATGGAACACCACTGAAACTGTAAACTAGCTACACCCAGAGTGTTCTTAGGATGGTTTCTAACTGCCAGAGAAACACAGTTTCTTTCAAACATTAATTCCTACTGCAGGAACCACAGCACTGTGCTCGTAAGGTGACTCAGATGAGAAAGAAACAGAAAGTGAAACTGTCCTCCCTCTCCTTGCCCAGCCAAAGAGAAAGGCACAGAGGATGATCAATGGCATCACTCAGTTGCTTACCTTTTCCCTGGATTTTTTTATTCATAATAAAATAAAATGACAATCACCACTGTGCCACTGACCTTATTCAAAGCACACCCAGTGGGCAGCATAAGCAAACTTAAACCTACTGCATAGGGAACTAAGACCCAATGCCCCTAGATAGCAGGAGATAGTAAGAGTAGTAGATCTGAACAGCTCGTGGCTATCTTGACAAAAAGCAACCTAGCAATTATACTGCCTAAATTAGGCATTCGAATAAATGCAGTCATGTCATTTAAACAATCAAGCTATATTGATTTATAGCAGGTAAAGATTTTATTAAGGATGTAAGGAACTTCTTAAGGATGTAAGCATCTGATCTTTACCTTAATATGTCCCTTCAGTGAGTCCACATTACTGGCTTGCACCACCTGGCCTCCCCTAATGCCCCCACAGTTCACTTTTAGGCAGGTCGAAGAAGGATGGTTTCTCACTTCTTTCATTTCTTACACACTTCCAGCAGTGCTGAGTGAAATGAGAGACAACCATAAAGCCCAGTAGAGGGGAAAATTAGACATGCTGTGTAAATAATTTCTGAGCTGTAAGTAAAGTCTTTGGCAGTTTTAGTTTCATATCACAAGTTCACACATCTTTTGAATTGTCACCTGCAGCAGATAAGCCCTAAATGCTCATGACCCCTCCTGGATGCAGTGTGCTCACGTGGGACTAGCTCCCACCAGGCATGGGCTGAGGCGGCCGCTCTGCTCGATTCACCATCCACGTGTCCTCCACACACGATTCACCATACACGTGTCCTCCAGCCCATGAGGGCATCACAAAGGGGACGCGAGTCCCAATACGTCCCACCGCCCCGGCTCAGCAGACAGAGCGGGGAGCACGACCACGAAAATGGGACCGAACACAAACGCAAACCAGGTGAGCAGATCTGGCATTTGGAGTGGCATGTGGGGTGCTTAAAGCCACGTGGGGACTGCAACAGCTCTGAGTGGAAACAGCCAGACTGGGCAGGCTCACAGAGGTCCTTCTTGTTTTGAATTTCCCAGGATGATTTCAAAAATGAAGGTGGCTTCAAGAAGCAGCAATTTCCAGGAGAGCTAACTCTGGAGCAGCCACCACATTTTTTTTTTTTAGGCAGGAAGGCGGGCAGGTTTGGGGGCTGCAGGAAGGGTGAGGGGACAGGGTCACTGTACTCGACGACCAGTAACCACTCATGGGGTCGGAGCCGGGGAGCTGCGCTGGCCTACCCAGGACGGAGGGCTCATCAGGCCGCGATCAGGAGCCCAGAGCCTCCTGCAATCTCCCAGGCTGCCAGGGAGAACATCCCCCCTTGAAACCTGGCTGCATCCCGCTGCCAGCTCCGCACACCTGCGGAGAGCAGGGGCGGACGCGGCCGTGCGGACGGTGGGAGGGGAGGGAGAAAGGGAAAGGCCGGGGTTGTTTGCACAGTAACACGGTCTCTGCCGTGCTCCTGGGGGCTCTGCAGCCCCCACGCTTCCCCAGGTAAATCAATCTCAGACGAGCTCTGCCAAGATCTACAGCCTGGCAAAACATCACAAAGAGAGCAGCCACAGAAGTCAGCCTTTGCCACAGAGAGCGGTGCTCAGCCATCTGGATCTGGCATGCAACTCCCAAAGATTATACAGGACTTAAGTGCAGGAGAGTGACCCTAGGTCATGACAAGTCTTTGGGCCATGCTCAGACACACATGCAGCCCCACCAATGGTCAAGGGAGCCAAGCCACCCTTGCTAGCAGAAAGTTTCAGCAACTCTCTCTTCTTCCCAGATCGACAGAGGCGCCTCCAGACCTGTAATCCTACCACCCGAATGTGCCTCCATGTCCTCGCGCAGCACAAGCATGGAGAATGTAGCACTTACCCCCCAGGAACTGGATGCCTCCTGCCATCCTGCCCACGTTCCTGGAGATGAGCTCAGACACACAGCAGCCCATGAGCGCCGTCAGGGCCACCAGGAGGAGCAGCCCGCAGCCCAGCCCCGTCACCACCGTGCAGATCCTCCACTCGGTGCTGGGGATGGCCTGGAAGGAGGCGTAGCGGCCGCACTGCTCCACCATCACGGTCGTCTGGAGGCTCTCGTCCCGCACAGGGTATGAACACCTCCGGAAAGTGCCAAAGGAAACCGACTTCTCCAGCTGAGACCCCAAGAGCCAGTAGGGCATGAAGAACCCCACGCAGGAGGCAGCAGCGCAGAGGAAGGAGAGGAAGGCCCAGATCATGCCAGCACAGGTGAGGCTGGATGCCATCTTGGTATCTGCACTCAGGACCACTCACAACGGGGGCAGAGGGAGCTGCCTACGTATTTCACAGAAGGTTAAGGATAATCCAGAGTCTCTCAGCCTTGATAAATCCTCGCTCCAGGAGAAACACGGATCTTAACAGCCATGCTGATGTTTTCTCCCATCATGAAGACAAAGGTCCCTGAGTAAAGAACAAAAAAGAGAAAACGTTCAGTTCAATTAAAAAGAAATGTGTATCTGCCACAGTGTTTTTTGTTCCTTCAGCATTTTTCATTAAGGCATCACACTCCTGTCTCATTACTGCAAGCAGCCACTAAAATTGCTGTCAGTGGCAGTGCCTACTTTGCAGGTAGGAAGGAGCTTTGGGGCTCCCACTTTCAGGGGCTCCCTAAGCTCTTGCCTGGTCACCTTTCTCCGTGGTATGTCTTAATCTGTCCCATAACAACAGGGGAAAAAAAAAAAAAAGGCTTCGTTTGTCCATAGGCAGCTGGGTTTTCATCCTGCAACGCCCTAGGAACCTTCTTTACATACACAGATCCTCAACTTCAGCACAAAACTGTTTGCAGTACCTGAGGTTTTTCAGAATCAGGCCCTTGTGAAGAGGAGTGGCACTTTCCCCAGCTTTCCCCTAATTTGTTGGCTTCTCCATGGGCCAAAAGCAGCCAAATATTGTTTGATGGTTAAACATGCCAAGAACCCACAGCTCCAGACGGGCTTCTGGCAGGTGAAGCCTTTCAAGTTCATGCCCAACTAACCTCAATCAGCATATGCTTAAAATACAGGTCTCTCTTGCTATTCCTGCTTGCACTCAGCCCAGTTCCTTCTCTTTCTTCTTTGTCTCTTCCCAGGCCAAACCCAGACTTCCCAACTCCTCTGCCTCCTTTCCTGGTAGCTCTGGGACATCTCAGTCCTGGAGCTACCAAGCAGTTCTGGCTACTATAGAAACCAGAGGTTAAGCTTTTATTTCTTGTTAAATCCAAGCTGGATCATTAAGTGTAAATCTAACTGCATTTGTAAATTTATGATCATTTCTCACAGTTGCTGCCAAATTAATTCTGATAGCTATTTACAGGGTTTTTTTTTCTAAGCATGATTAGACGCCATTAAGTGGATTTAGTTCTTGTACAGTGATAAAATTAATACCAAATCTGTGGAAGGAGGGAACACAGGTAAAAAGTCCATGAGTGAAATTAAACCTGTACACCATACAAAAGTTTCGTTTACTTTTAAAACACTAAGAACAAGAAGTCTCTTCTATAAGGTTAGAAAAGGCCCTGCTGCTTCTCAAGAAGCACATGCTGGGCTGTTTGCAGCCACAGCCCATCTGTAGACCTTCTAACCTGCAAAGAACCAAATCCCCCCAGGACAGAAAGTTGGAAGGGGGCATCGGGTGCATCCATCCCTGCAGAGGCATCTTTGGAAGAGGATCTGCCCATCTTGGCGTAGCACCAAGTGCCTAAGAAGCAGCAGGGCTCAGCACTTAAGAGAGGGTCCTTCCCTGAATCATTAGATCAGAAAGGGCTAGGAAGAGGGGACAACGTGGAAGGTCCCAAAAGCTGGTCCGTGCCACCCCCACCACCCCAAACGGACCCCTGAGAGGCTGGACAGGGAGGGAGACAGAGGCACCAGGCAGGGGACCAGGCTGGTGGGCAGAGGAGGAAGGGAAGAGAAGGGGCCCGGAAAGGGAATGGGGTTCAGAAGAAAAGGAGTATCCGGAAAGAAAGGTCTGAGAGGGCGAGGGGTCTGGGAGGGGACAGGGGTCCAGGAGAGGAGAGCCCCTACCTTCCTGCCCCGGGAAGGGGGATTGGAAGAGGGAAGGTATGGGAGAGCAGGGAATGAGACAGGGCAGGGGCATCGAGGCGAGAAGGAGCCCGTGGGTCCGGCAGGGCAGGGAAGATGGGAAAGGAGCCGGGGAGCAGGAAGGGAGATCGGGGAAGGGAAGATCTGTCAGGGCAGGGAGGTCCAGGACGGGAGTGGGGTCCAGGAAGGGGGATCGGGGAAGGTCTGGCAGGGCAGGGAAGGCAGCAGGATAGGGGGATCCGGCAGGGGAAGGGGAGCCGGGAGACAAGAGGGAGCCGGGCGAGAAGGGGGTCCGGGAGGGGAAGCAGCTCGGGAGGGGAAGGGGATCTGGGAGAGAAGGAGCTCCTGGAGAGAAAGGATTCGGCGAGGGAAGGCGCTCCGGGCGGGCAGGGGCATCGCGGAGGGGCAGCTCCGCGGGGGCGGGCGCGGGTGCCGGCGGCGGGGCC